CCACGGCGGGGGTTGGCTGCGTCCTTCGATGAACGACAGAGAAATCTGGATTTCTGCACGTGCCATAAAATCCTTTTCTCATTGAAGGACACAGCATCCATCTGGTGTTTTTTGGCTGTCTTGATGTTATTGTCCTGATTCTGCAAACTACTAACTGAATCCTGTATTGCAAATAGGAGGTTTGGCCACTCCAGATGAACACCCTTTAGGCATCCTTTTAGTTTTAAGTTGCACCTAACGTTCTGCTCCTGAAGGTGGCAGCATCACACCCATCTGTGACGAAGTTTGGCTGTGTCCCTCAATGAACTCAGAGAAAAGGATTTTATGGCAAGTAAAATAAAAAAAATCCAAACTTTTTTTTTTAACAGACAACGCTGATCATTCACCTTAATCCTATTACAAAGCCATATATAGCTAAACAATATATTGAGATGAACGCTTTCCTTAAAATCTGATTGGCTGGAATTACAGCACTGCTCCTGTTCAAATAAGCCGCCAAGAATTTAAAACAATTTCCTCTTACCCGTTCCTGTCCGTTGGCCGTTCTACTAATATCTCCGAACCTCAAGAAGGCCTCGGCCGACACATCCTCAAAATTGGCCGGAGGAGGGGGAGTGTATGGCCCATGCGTGGGCAAAGGCGGGGGAACCTCCTCGTGGACTGCGGTCTCCTGTGTAGCCCCATCTGCCGTCCCTTCATCCTCCTCCTCTGTATCAGAAGGCAGGAAGGAGAATTTAGAGCGCTGTTCCTTCAGTAGTGCCTCAATACGCGAGTCTAGACTGCTGCTGTGCTGTGTGAATGGCAGGCTCTCGGAGACTCCGTCTGGGAGCGGGGAGCAGGATCGTGCTGGGGAAGGGGGAGGGGAAACAGGCTGGAAGTGGGGGAGGTGGAGGAGGTGGCTCCCAGCTCTCAGTAGGTGGCGGTGGGGGCTGCGGTAGAGAAGAAGATGGTGGAGAAGGAGGAAGTGGAGGATGCAGTCGATAGTCCTGGTCAGTTTGAGGATCGTCTGGTGGGAGTGGTGGAGGTGTAGGCAGAGGAGGAGTCCCAGGAAAGCGGTGTAAAGGTGGCTCTTCTGGAGGTGGGGGAGGTTTCCGGTGGCGAGACCGGTAGGACTGAGGAGAGGTTCGATGTTGGTGTCTGTGGTATCGCCGGTGACTGCTATCATGCTGTGTGGAAGATGAGGAAGCTGAAGTATAGTGGTGTCCAGAGCGCCGCGAGTAGGAGTCGCCAGAGCTGTTCTCCTGCCGCCGTGACTTGTATCCTGAGGTGTCATGGGTACTGGAATGGCTGGGGGTACTCTGCCTGCGGGACAAACAGACAATCAGAAACATTAATGGTCAACTTAGCAATGCCCCAATACATTCATTAAAATGCGATTTTTAGATTTTTGACATGTAAACCATGTTAAAACTTATTCGTGCAACTGGATCTCTCTAATCTCACTGATTATGTGAGAAATAAAAATTTAATTAAAATAATTAAAAATAATAATAAAAATAATAATGCGCCTGGAGTTAAATTTTAAAAAGACGCGGTCACCTTAAAAAAGGCATTTTTTCTGCAAACACCTTTCCTCAAATTTATACTCACCTTCTCTGCACCACAGACGGCACTGAAATCAGCAGTGCCAGATCTTCAGATCATATGACAGTGCACTGGTCCATTAAAGTAGTTGTACAGCCCACCCCCAACCTGCCTAAATTCTTACCCGAGTCCTCTCCTGATCCAATGCTGTGCCTGTCTGCAGCGCCGCTGCTTTCTGTTCCTCCCCTCACAAGACAAAGGGGCAGCAGCAGGATTCAGTGGCTCCTGATGCTGCGAATCAAATCCTGTGAGGACGGAGCAGGTAGCAAGGCCAAGCCATGCTGTGTGTGTGTTAATAGATGCACAAAACCCAACTTTGGATAAAGCCTGCATGTATGCCCCCATAGCAGCCAGCTTGCTATGGGGGTACGCATAGAAGAGAAGAGCAGAAAGTGCAGGCGGGGGACCCTAGAAGAGGAGGTCTGGGGCCACTCTGTGCAATACCATTGCACAAAGCAGGTAAGTATAGACATGTTTATTATTTTAGAGAAAAAAAATCACGCCTTTACAATTGTTTTAAAAGTGGAGCTCCACCCAAAAGGGGACGTTCCGCTTTAAGGACTGCTCCTCATTAAGGATTGGCACCTTTGGGGGGTGGAGCAGCAGGTACCCAAATTCCGGTCGGATCGCCTAGGCCAGGGGCAGGCAACCTGCGGCTCTCTACTAGCTGTTGTGGAACTACATTTCCCATGAGGCATTGCAACATTACAAAACTGACAGTTACAGTTATGACTTGCAGAGGCATGATGGAACTTGTAGTCCTGCAACAGCTGGAGAGCCGCAGGTTGCCTACCCCCGGCCTAGGCAATCGGAAATGGAAGGTGTCCTCCTTCCCTCCCTGTAGTCTTTTGGGACACGTGACAGGTCCCAGAAGACTACAGGACCATTCATGAAGCACAGCGCTTCTCGTGCATGCGCAGTGTGAAGCCGCAAGCTGTCACAGCCGGGTGCCCACATTGAAGATGCCGGCCTCCTGGAATACAGGACGACCGGTGAAACGGGCTGCGGGGGACACACCACGGGACCGAGGGACAGGTAAGTGGCTGTTATTTTAAAAGTCAGCAGCTACAGTTTTTGTAGCTGCTGACTTTTATTTTCATACAGGATGAGTGGAACTCCACTTTACCATACATATTACACCCCCTTCCTTTCCAGGCCATTTTCAGTGATGTGATAGTTTGACTGACAACTACTTGGTCATGCACACCACCAAATAACTTTTTTTTTTTTTATAATACAGATACAGCTCTCATTTGGAGGTATTTAATAACAACTGGATGCTTTGTATTTCCCTTACTTTCAAACAAAAATGCCAGGACAGTACACCCCCCCCCCCCCCAATATCACGCCTCATTGTAAAGTAAACACCAGAAGGTGATCTCATTTTTTTCAGAGTTAATATAGTTCGAGGTGTCGTGAGACAGACACAAGTGTAGCACAACCCTCCCACAACCCCAGGCCATAGCATATGTTTTCAGGAGTGCTCTGATGTCACCTTTCTGAGCTTGTCATGGGATTTACATAGTGCAGTCTTTATTTTACCAGAGGCTAATGTCTCTGTCTGTACTGGACTAGAAATTCTAATACAAGCCGAGTGAACGTGCCGATCAAGGAGCTCCTCAAAAAATAATAAATAAAAGTACTGCTTATGTACTCTGCTACAAGATACAATTTCCATTCCTCTTTCAGCAAGCTGCTCTAGTCGCTGTATAAGGAAGGGGAGGGATTGATGTGTATTGACCAGGGGCGGACTGACAACTCATGGGGCCCCCGGGCAATAGGGGATCATGGGGCCCCGTGTCCTCACTCACACCCAAAAAAAGCCTATGAAAAAAAAACAAATGAAAGGTACCAGGGGCATCTCATGGGGCCCCCTACTGACTTTGGGCCCTCGTGCAGTGCCCGAGTGCTCAAATGGTCAGTCCGCCCCTGGTGTTGACTACTACAGGGTTTACTGGTGTGATTGGTTCACAACAATCCATTGGCACAGAGCCACTCTGATTAGCTCTTCATTTTGCCTAGGATTTGCAGTGTCTAATGGCAGCATGATCCCAGGCAGGGTGGACACGTTTGTTGGTTATGCACATTCCAAACACAGCTATTTATTTATTTCAGGTACTTATATAGCGCCATCAATTTACCCAGCGCTTTACATATATATTGTACAATCACATCAGTCCCTAACCCTCAAGGGGCGTACAATCTAAGGTCCCTAACTCACATTCATACACATACTAGGGCCAATTTAGACAGGAGCCAATTAACCTACCAGTACGTCTTTGGAGAGTGGGAGGAAACCGGAGTACCTGGAGGAAACCCACGCAGACACAGGGAGAACATGCAAACTCCAGGCAGGTGGTGTCGTGGTTGGGATTTGAACCAACGACCTAAGTACTGCCAGGCGGAAGTGCTAACCATTTAGCCACTGTGCAGCCCTCAGGTAGGGTTTAACCTGTTGCTGCTTGCAAAACACGTGTGGAGGCATATAGGTGGGCTTTAAACACCCACACGTGTTGCTGGGCAACCGATGTTGACAACTCCCAGTCCAGACTAAAGATCAGTAGCCAGCAGGACCATGGCCGTGGCATGTGGACCGGCTCCTGATCATGTGACCACTGTGGCACCGCTGCGTGGTGCCTTCCAATGCGCTGCGCTAAAATGCAACATTTCCTGTCAGCTGTACTACAGTGTGAATGGGGGGGGCATAGGGCACCTAACAGATAATTGTTTTCTATGTGCCCTAGAGGCGACTGGCATGATCCAATGCAGAAAAATGCCATTCACAGCACTGTGTGTGAATGAGCTTTTACGAACTTTCCCTGTGCCCAAACACTTACCTTATGGTCCCTTGTTACCGCCATCAGCTCTGGAAGATCTGCGCCATTGGCCAAGCTGCCCGGTAGTAGAGGAGAGACTCGGGGTATGTGAGCGGTAGGCTCCTGAAGCTGTTTTTCAATAGGCTGGGAAGAGGCAGCAGGGGTGTGGCTTGCTGAGCGCTGTGTGTTTGAATGGACACACACAGCACCAGTCTGAAGCGTGCATGCACGAGTGTCTCCTTAGCAGCCAGATAGCTAAAAGGAGACACCAGCAAAAAGGAAGACAGGGGCAGAAGTTCTGGGACCAGCTGGATAACAAATAAAGATGACTTTTCAAGGAAGAAAACAATATATATTATGCAAGTTTAAACTTTAACTAAAATATAAAAAAACAAGTAGCATTCAATATCACTTTAATAAAGGGTCAGTTTAATTGAAATGTCACCCTGTATTAGAAAATTAAACCACCTAATAGGCTTTTCTATCTGTTGGGAACACCACTGCTGAGTTCCTGAGTCTAAGCACTTACCATGGCCATTATGAGGGGCTCCCATCATCCCTGAGCCAAGTTCCCAGGTGCATCTACACTTGCTGTGCCCATTAGGAGGGGTTTCCACCATCCCTGAGCCAAGTTCCCAGGTCTGTACACACACTGTGCCCATTATGAGGGGCTCCCACCATCCCTGTGCTGAGTTCCCAGGTCTCTACACTTGCTGTGCCCATTATGAGGGTTCCCACATCCCTTTGAGGACTTCCCAGGTCTCTACACCTGCTGTGCCCATTATGAGGGGCTCCAACCATGCCTGAGCCACGTTCCAGGTCTCTACACCTGCTGTGCCCATTATGAGGGATTCCCTCCATCCCTGAGCCACGTCTACACCTTGCTGTGCCCATTAGGAGGGGTTTGCCCCATTATGAGGGATTCCCTCCATCCCTGAGCCAAGTTCCCAGGTCTGTACACCTGCTGTGCCCATTATGAGGGGCTCCCACCATCCCTGAGCCACGTTCCCAGGTCTCTACACCTTGCTGTGCCCATTATGAGGGATTCCCACATCCCTGAGCCACGCTCCCAGGTCTCTACACCTGCTGTGCCCATTATGAGGGGCTCCAAGCCACGCTCCCAGCCTACACCTGCTGTGCCCATTATGAGAGCGTTCCAGGTCTCTACACCTGCTGTGCCCATTATGAGGGATTCCCTCCATCCCTGAGCCACGTTCCCAGGTCTCTACACCTGCTGTGCCCATTATGAGAGCTCCCAGGTCTCTACACCTGCTGTGCCATTATGAGGGATTCCCTCCATCCCTGAGCCACGTTCCCAGGTCTCTACACCTGCTGTGCCGATTATGAGGGATTCCCTCCATCCCTGAGCCACGCTCCCAGGTCTCTACACCTGCTGTGCCCATTATGAGGGATTCCCTCCATCCCTGAGCCACGCTCCCAGGTCTCTACACCTGCTGTGCCCATTATGAGGGATTCCCTCCATCCCTGAGCCACGCTCCCAGGTCTCTACACCTGCTGTGCCCATTATCCCTGAGAGCTCCCAGGTCTCTACACCTGCTGTGCCCATTATGAGGGATTCCCTCCATCCCTGAGCCACGTTCCCAGGTCTCTACACCTGCTGTGCCCATTATGAGGGATTCCCTCCATCCCTGAGCCACGCTCCCAGGTCTCTACACCTGCTGTGCCCATCCCAGGTCTCTACACCTGCTGTGCCCATTATGAGGGATTCCCTCCATCCCTGAGCCACGCTCCCAGGTCTCTACACCTGCTGTGCCCATTATGAGATTCCCTCCATCCCTGAGCCACGTTCCCAGGTCTCTACACCTGCTGTGCCCATTATGAGGGATTCCCTCCATCCCTGAGCCACGCTCCCAGGTCTCTACACCTGCTGTGCCCATTATGAGGGATTCCCTCCATCCCTGAGCCACGCTCCCAGGTCTCTACACCTGCTGTGCCCATTATGAGGGATTCCCTCCATCCCTGAGCCACGTTCCCAGGTCTCTACACCTGCTGTGCCCATTATGAGGGATTCCCTCCATCCCTGAGCCATGCTCCCAGGTCTCTACACCTGCTGTGCCCATTATGAGGGATTCCCTCCATCCCTGAGCCACGTTCCCAGGTCTCTACACCTGCTGTGCCCATTATGAGAGCTCCCAGGTCTCTACGCCTGCTGTGCCCATTATGAGGGGTTCCCACCATCCCTGAGCCACGTTCCCAGGTCTCTGCACCTGCTGTGCCCATTATGAGGGGTCCCCACCATCCCTGCACCATGTTTCTGGTCTCTGCACACTTGCTGTGCCCATTATGAGGGGCTTCCCTGCACCATGTTTCTGGTTTGCCACTTGCTGTACCTATTATGAGGGCTTCCTACACCATGCGTTTGCCACCAGGTTACTATAGAGGAGCTCCCAACATCCCTGCACAAAGTTCTTGGGTCTGTACACCTACTGGGCCCATTATGTGGGGTTCCATGCAGTGAGTTCTCTGTACACCACTACCTATTATGAGAAGCTCCCATATGTACTGGATTTGTCTGGTATGGAACACAGTGGGGATTATTTACTAAAACTGGAGACTGTAAAAATCCGGTGCAGCTCTGCAGAGAAACCAATCAGCTTCCAGGTTTTACTGCCAAAGCTTAATTAAACAAACTGAAGATAGAAGCCGATTGGCTCCCATACAGAGCTGTACCAGATTCTGAGTGCACCAATTTTAGTAAATCTCCCCCAGTATACTAAAGAGGGCAGGATCACAGTAAGGAAGTGGGCACAGAGGTCCCACACCGAAGTCCCCATGAAATCCATTAAACCTTTAACTGAATTCTATACTGTAACCTCCCTAGCGGTCTGATTATGTCAGTATTTCTGTGCTCAAAGTGGTACTTTTTTTGCATGGAAATAAGTATTTTTTTTATTGTAGGCCTGTAATTTTTAGGAATAACTCACTCAAATCTGTCCGAACAAGAGTCTAGTAAACATCCCGGGGATGATAAAATTTGAAAACACAAAATCATAAATTAATAAAAAAAATATAATAATAATAAATTTAATTCAATAATATAATCAAACCGAAAACACTGAAATGTGAAATATAGCGCCAAGTTCGCACATCACTGAGCAAAGTCGCAGAATCGTTTTCAGTGTCTGATGATGAATTTCCCCCACGAATCATTATCACTCAATTCTGCAAGTGGTTCTGATTTACTATCGCTGTTCTCTAGCCGGTCTAAAACCGCTTTTTGGACGCCATGGACTTTTTCTAAGTTTCCAGGCATAAAGAACAGTTAAAATGCAGGCAGGGCGCCGGACAAAGCACTCGGGACAAAATGTATGTGAAATCACATAGTAGAACATTACTGTATCAAACCATTTCAGTGTATTTAGTGAATGCCACTTTTACAATTTTCAAATTTCCCGCCAGTTCCGTCCCCCGTACGTCCCGACGCTCGCAGGCAACGGAACTCAGAAGACGGATGCCGGCTTCCGACGGAGGACATGGCCGGGGACACTGCAGGAGGGACATCGCGGGAGCGCAGGACAAGGTAAGTGAAGAAGAGATCCCGGAGCAACACTGCAGTGTATTCCCGAGTGTAGCTCGGGGGGGGTTACCGCTTGTGGTGCTGAAACTTTACCTCGAGCTACACTCAGGAAAACCTCCAGGGGGGTTAAATAATAGAACACATTAAATAACAAAGATTACAAATAACAAGGGTCAACACCCTAGGAAGCACTAGATGTCATTGAAAACACCCAGAATCCCCCTGTGAGCAGAGTATGATGCATTGGTGCCCTTGTACCTGCTGGAATAGGCAGAGTCCTGAGAGTAGGGGGTGCCAGATCTAGGAGTGTACGGGGTGCCCTGGGAGGATGACAGGGATGGCGTATACTGGCTGTACAGAGATCCGGAATCTTGAGACGTTGGGGTCCCATTTCCAGGTAGGAAAGAGGTGTCGGTGGACAAGCGCCTTCGATTGTCAGCCTGGAGATAAAACAGATTATTACAGCCAGCAAGCATTTCTTCATGGCAGGACAGAGCTGGGAAATGGCTTTAAAGCCTAAGCTTAGCTGAAAATAAAAGCAAACATCAGCACAAGGGACATAACTTACAATTAGTATGGTATGTCCCTTGTGTTGATTCTTTCTTCTTCTCCTTTCAGTAGAAATCTTCCTCCGTCCTGACTGGCACAGTTTTATCACTTCCTAACCTGATACATATTCTGACTGACCAGTATGGCTACGTATCAGGGTGATGGGTGAATATGTGAGGGTGGGGCTAAGCAGCAAGGTGGTCTGGGAGGCTTCTGCGTGTATGTGATCTAGGTTTCTGTACGTCATATCTGGTGAATATTTTGGCTCTGCCCGCCCCCCCCCCCCCTTCTTTTGGATGATCGCTGTTTGCATGCATGTAGGATTGACATGTGACATGTAGCATTTACATGTGAGCATGGGGGGGACAGGGACTTTTTTTTTTCCTTTTTTTTTTTTCATTCATTTTATTTTATTGTTACTGTTGCTTTAATTTTTTTGGTCACTTTTATTGCAGGAATGTAAGCATCCTTGTGACAGCAATAAGCATGTGACAGGTACTCTTTATGGAGGGATCTGGTGCCTAAGAACCTAAATCCTTCCTCTGCCCTTAAAAGCATTTAAAACCCCAAGATCTATATTTTTGAATGCTTTCAATTTAAAAATGACATCTGGGTAAACCAGAAGTGATGTCAGTCATCACTTCCGGGTTACTATAGCGCAGATCCGATCAAAGCCGATCCCGACTTTGATCGGCTGACTGGCCAGCTGGCGGATGTGCTGGCTGGTCGCTCGGGTCTCTAACCGGGACATGAGATCCTGAGAGAGCTGCAGAAGGTGGCGTTCCCTCCCACGGCTTGTAAAAGCAATCCAGTGGCTAGCTAGCTGCTAGGATAGCTTTAACAAGAGAGCCGACCACCAGCTCTAGAGAAACAGTACCAGGGTGATGCCTGCAGCTGCAAGTGTGCAGACCAGAAACATGGTGCAGGGATGTGGGGAGCCCCTCCATAATGGGCACAGCAGGTGCAGAGACATCCCAGCATAACTGCTTGAAGTCCAGCCATGTACTGGTATGTGGCTGGTCAGCAAGTGGACTCAAAATCCTGAGTTCACACTATAGATCGCATGTGAATCGCACAAGAACCACACTGCAGTCCTGTGCAATTCACATGTAATTCAGTACTGTGCAATCTGAGCGCAACCACCTCAATTATCCCCTTCATGCCTAAAGGTAAAACAAATCTAAATGCCTAAGCACAATTTTGCACCGTTGACATGTGTCAGTAAAACCGTCCATATCATCACAACTACTTTGTACATCCAGTGGATTATACCGCGTTTTTTTTTCAGGACAAATTGGGCTTTCATTTGGTGGTAAATGGTAATGGATTTCTCCTGATTTTTTTTTTTTTATTATCAAAGGAAAAAACTGGCCCAAAATAGTAAAAAAAAAAAAAAAAATTTTTTTTTTTAATTTAGCTGTGTGTTTCTTGTTACTACCATAACCTACCACCATAGAACAACCCAAAATAAATTCTCCAGCTCTTGACAATCGCAGCGATACCACATATGTTGTTTGTACCCGTAGTACGGCCCAGAAACAATAGTGTGCATTTTCTTTTTGTCTTTTTTTTTTTTTTTTTTACCTAAAAAACACACTGACTCTAACTGACACCAATTTTTTTTTAAATCCTGACCGATAACCCTGACCTTTTGACCTTTGACCCAAACAATAACCCTGGCACTATACTAGATCTAACATTTATCTTTTTTTTTTTTTCCTCTCTATGTCAGGAGTTATAGAGGTACAATGCATCTCTCTCCTCCATTCAGAGAGAGAAAAAAAAAAACAAGGGAGCCGAGCTGTACAGTGACTGATCACTGCGATAGCCAATCAGAGGCTATCACAGTGATCATGTGACCCAGAATCGGGAGTCCCGGGTCCCAATCGTCAGAACGGGACCCGGGGCTCTCAGTGACACTGCGGTCTTTGTGCTGGGAGCGCGCTGTGCTCCCAGCCCAAAGACAGGTACACAAATATGCGGCCCCCACAGAAAAAAAGCCCAGCTCCGTGAGGACGCATATTTGTGTGACGCTGGCATCAAGGGGTTAAAGCAAGTAAGCCTATGAAAGAATAGGTTTTGTCATTTGGGTTTAATAATTAAATTGGTTCTAAAAGGATTTTTTTTACCTTAATACATTCTCTGCAAAAAAAAAAAAAAAAAAAAAAAAAAAAAAAAAGAAAAAAAAAAAAAACCCCTTCTGCAATCAACAGACCCCCCTCCTCCCCCAAATACTTACCTGACCACGACCTCAATCCAACAATATGAACGCGGAGCAGAGGCTCTCTCCCCTCCTCACCGGCTCAGACACAGAAGCAGAAGCTATTGGCTCCTGCTGCTGTCAATGCCAGCCAGTGAGGAGGGAATGGGGTGGGGCCGAGCCCCGCTCTGTATGTCTCTTGGACGCAAAGAGTGGGTCTCGGGAGCAAGCACACACAAGTGCCCCCTATAGGAGCTTGTTATGCGGACACTCAGAAAGGGGGAGAGGCCAGGAGCACCGGTGGGGGACCTGAAAGAGAGGAGCTCAGGTCTGCTCTGTGGAAAACAGGCAGACTCTATGAACCACTAGGTCTCATTTCTGCCATCACTATATATGTTTCTACAGAGCAGGCAAGTATGACTTTTTTTTTTTGGTTTTGTTTTTTTAAGTAAAAAGGTCCGATAATCCTGTGTAAGCTCTGACATTAAAGTAGAGCTCCACCCAAAAAGGGGAATTCCGCTTTAAGCCTTTGTCCCATTAAGGATTGGCACCTTTGGGGAGCGGGTACCCAAATTTGACAGGAGAGAAGGTGATGGGGGGGGGGGGGAGGAGAAGGTGAGGGAGGGAGGGGGGGGGAGGGTGAGGGGGGGGGGGGTGGGGGGGGGGGGGGGGGGGGGGGTGAGGGGGGGGGGGGGGGGGGGGGGGGGGGGGGGGGGGGGGGGGGGGGGGGGGGGGGGGGGGGGGGGGGGGGGGGGGGGGGGGGGGGGGGGGGGGGGGGGGGGGGGGGGGGGGGGGGGGGGGGGGGGGGGGGGGGGGGGGGGGGGGGGGGGGGGGGGGGGGGGGGGGGGGGGGGGG